TCACTGCTCGTCAATGTCAGAATATTTGAGATGACAAATCAAATCAAAGTAGGCGGGCTTTATTTCAAAGACGCTGCTGAGCGCGAATTTCAGCAGAGCGACTCGACGCTTACAGGCAAGTGCGAGAAAAGATGTAGGCCTAAGTGGCTAAACTTAACATTTCATATTTACATTTTTTTAGGTCATAAATGTTAAACGAATGACAAAAAATAATCAGGCAAACTAATAGGCTATAGTTTTGTCTAATTTCGTCTTTTTGAAGTGAAATAAATAGGCCTGTAACGTGACTCATGCAATTTAATAGTTTACTGTCATTGCGAGGGGACAAACATTAACAAAGACCTTTTCATCATTTTAGCCACAAGTAACGAATGTGTACATATTGAGAATATAATAAAAATTGTAGCCTTTAGGCTATTACGTTAAAAAAAGCCCAGCCTTCGAAGGGGGGAGAGAATTTATTGCCCACTGACATGGTTTTAAATCTATTTCTTATTCTTTTTTTGGTCTTAAAACGTCTTGAAATGCACATCAGAGAAATCAAAAAAATTGAAGCACCAACCTCAAATTTAGGACATCTGTGATTATAAAGCCCTGTCTATGGCCCTGTATTAGTCATAAGATCAATAATGAATGTGTATATGTTTTGAATGTATTTAATAAACTAATTACCTAGCTTTAGTAGCTTTCAGTGAATAAACGTGTCCGAGAAAAAATATTCATAGGGAAAATACACTTATCAGTTGACCCCATGTTTAGTTTCTTCACTGACAGACAAAAATGAAAAGCCTATATATCAGTCACAGGCTCATCTTTAGGAGGGGAAGAGACAGGGCAAGAGAAAAACAAAGAGAAAAAGAGGGTGATGCTGATGGGGAGAGAAAAATAATCAGCTCAGCTGCCCACTGACATGGTTTTAAAGCTGTTATCTAATTTTTTTTTTTTGGCCTTCAAAACATCCTAAAATGCACATATGTAGATCAGAGAAATAAAATGTTTCTCAGGAAAACCCTGAACTCCTCTAACTAACCTACCTCACATTTGGGACAACAGTGATTATAAAATCCTGCCTTTGCATGTAATGAAACTGGTTAAAAGTGAGCATTAGATCCTAAACTAAAGTGTCACCTTTTTATTTTATTTTTTTTTTTTAGAAAAAATCCTAAGTGATGATCAAAATCCTAGTGACGCCCCTGCTTCATGCAACCTGTCAAAATCTAGTTTAAAAGAAATATATTACTATTGCACAGTAGAGTATAGGCCTACTTCAAGTAGGCCTAATGCTATTAATAATAGTTTATTAAAACACACAGAAGCTCAAATGTCTTTAATTTAAAACAGTTTATAGTGATAAATAAAGTAACTCAATGGAATTATGAAAGAAATTGCATAGTAAAATGTAATTTATAAAATAATAATAATCAAATCTATTAAGACAGAACTTTAAAGGAATATTACACAAGTTTTGAAAATTTTTCGCAAATGGGTGGTGGTGGCGGCGGGCGGGCGGGCGGGCGGGGGGGGGGGGGCTGCTGGTATATCACAGTATACTCACTACAAAAAACTAGACTACACCACTGGTAAGCATGTAATAACGTTTTTAATTCCAGTGTTGGATTTCTACGGGAGATTTGAGCTCGTCTTTGCGTCATTACGTCACATCTGTACACACACATCTGTACACATAAAGAAGGAGTATCAGCTAGGCTATATTGCGTGTGAGGATGCTGGAGGTGGAGATTTATAGCCTTTTCTCACAACACTTGATATAATCCAGATCCAGAAAAGTTCAAAGTAACGACGATCGCCAGAAACAACAGATAAAATGCTGTAAAATGCAAAAGACAGAAAAAAAGAGACAGCAACCGGCCCATGCGAAAACAAGGATAATAACGGAAGGACATTAAATAGTCACGCAACGCTGCAGCGTTAACATTAACGTTAACATGAACAAGTTGAGAACAAAGTATATTTGCATGGTTTTCTGTGATATGATAAGAGATTTTTTGATTTAATCAGTGCGATTTACTGCAATGTCAGAACCAGAACAAAAGTGGATGTTTCTTACTTCTTGAAAATTGTGTTGGTCATACTTCCAAAAATAATAATCTGTGATTCTGAATGCCAGTATCCACACCGGTGGCGACTGACAGCCTCACGGTCTCCTCAAACATTGTGTTCATCCACTAACTGCGCTGAAACCACGCCCACTCGCGGGCAAGTCGGTTCGGCCCCGTTCACCAGTAACAGCGGATTATCAGTGAATCCCAGTTGTTATCCTATTCAATTCAATGTGATAAATGAGGTTGGTCAAAAGTAATCTAAAAGTAGTCTGATTATATTACCTAAAAAGTGTAATGTAATGGATTATGTAAACTTAGCCATTTTTTAAAGAAGAAGAGTGACATAGAAGACACTTGGAAAGAGGGGAGTATGAAATGAGCTCGGAAGGTAAAGATATATTAACCTGCATCAATCTGGACGAGTCTGAACTGTAATTCTGGCCGCAAACATGATGGTGTCCATATGGCTTATGATGTCTCAGTATCCACAACCAAATAATCTGTCTTAAATTAATAAGGCTCAGTGCTTACAGTGATCAGATTAATTCCGCCATGTTTTCTAAACCTGTATTAATCCCTGTAATCCTCAGCAGTTTCACTGCCAAGTGCTTTAATCCTTGAGCCACCAAGTGAGGACAATTTATAGCCATGAAGACATAAAATTCGGTTCTGTCCATCATTCCAACTCTGTGCAAACAAATGCCTAATCAAGTTTATATATCGCAAAGGTTTAAGCTAATCAAGACAGTGTGTTGTTGAGATACCATATCACTGGTGTGCATCCTGCAAAGTTCACCACACGAATAACGTGAAGTACACTAGAGGCGAGTAATAATTACCAATGCATGTTAAAAAGGATTATACTGAGGTGAGCATGCATGCGGTTAATGTGAGAATTATACCTAATATCCTGATCAAAACCCAAAGACAGATCAAAAAATAATAGACCTTCATCACATTTCTTTACAAAACAGAACATTTATTTGGAGAAATCAGTGCACTATCAAAAAAGGACCCTAAAATAATGCTTTTTAAAGACAATTTTGTGAATTTACTGTACCATGTTCTGTACCACTGTCACATTCTTGTAAATGCCAGTAGATGGAGCTCTTCTGAGAGACTGTTCCCAGAGCAGATCTGACCACGAGTTGCACAGGCAGTTGAATAGATTTTTTTTACATTGTTTCTATTAAGTCTAAAAAATGGTAGAGGACTAAAAAGTAAAAAAAAGGCTTTCCAATAAAAAATATATATAAAAAAATATATAATAATTTAGAAAGAATATTTAAAATATGAATGTTGGTTATTGAACCACACTGAAACAAAATATGTAAAATCTACATATTGTATATTATATATATATTTTTTGTTGCATATTTGCATACACATATTTTTTAAAGTAAGTTTCACACATGGAATTAAGTAAAATCTACTTAACTAAGTTAAGTAAAATTCTAAAGTTTGTTAAGTAATTCATGGCTCAATTCAGTGTAATATTGTAAGAATAAAATGCACTTAAAAAGAGTATTGCAAAGTAAACTTCAATATATGTTTTAAAGTGTATGCTTTATAAAACCTAAGTAAATATAGCCTATTGTGTTGACACATAAATAATACATAATAATACAGCTGGAAAACGGTGAAAATGCAACCTTATTAAATATTCATGCCCCAGTGCATTATGGGGACTGCAGTATCAGAAAGTTTATTAGGTTTTACTTAATGTTAAAATGTATATTTATTTATGCTTTAATTACTAGCTTAAAAAACAATGAGTAAAATTTACTTTGTTTTTGCACTGATATTTTTTGAGTAAATTTCACAAATAGAATTAAGTTAACTATACTTAACTTAAGTGAAATTAACATAAGAAAATAATTCATTTTTATTTAACATCTATTTAATTGATTTTTTTGTATTACAGTTCAATCAAACAATGTAACATTGAATTATACTACACTTTTTAATCAGAAATGTTTATGTAATCAATACATTTAGCGTGTGTCGCCATAATTTCTTTACTGAACTTATGTGTGAACGCAGACCTCAATAGGCTACTTGGTAGACAATAACATTTGATGGATCGTTTTTGTGTTTGAATGTGTCATTTTAAGTAGAAACAACAAAAGCAATGATAAAGTAGTGTAAATACATATGGAAAACAGTGAAATAAACCGCATTAATTATTCAAGGCCCAGTGCATGATGGGAACACCAGTATCAGAAAAGTTGAGTAATTTTACTTAATTTTGTAATGTTGATATTCACGCTCTCATTACACGAATGAATTGAGTAATACTATAGAATTTACTTCTTTTTTTATTCTTACTTGAACTTTCATGTAAATACATTGTTTTTTCTAGTATTTACTTCACCACAAAATCATTTTTATCTGTGTAGAATTTGCCTGACCTAAGTTATTCAGGTAGAAATTACATTACATTTAGAATTAGTTTAGTAGTTTTTATCAGTGCAGTTACATTTGCTATTTGGAAGCATGTGATAAATTTATGCCTGACAAGCCTGAGTGAACGCAACATAACTTCTGTCAACTAACAAACTAAGAAATAGCCTAGTTTGTGACATTGATTGTGTGTTTTTTAACTCAAGAACTTGATCGTTGGATGCCGTAATGTTTGTTCCACCAGAGATGTTTAACAAATCATAGGCTAAGTCTGAAATTATGTTTTAAAAGTTTAGCTAGGCTATTTATTGAAAACAAACGGTTTTAAAAAGAGATCACCTGATCAATGTGTAGGTAGATCTTTTGTGTGGTATTTAAAATATATATTTTAAATATCTTAATATGGATTTGAATTAAACTGTTCAAATTAGCCAATAAAGAGACTGGTGTAAACAAATAGTAAACCCATTCCAGGCTTTTGTGATGGCCATGTCAAATGAATCCCGATCTCTTTCAGTTCCGGTTCCGGTTTTTCCAGGTTCCTATCTGAATTCCTGCTGCTCTCTTTCTCTCTCTGAGATCAGTGAAAAAATATCTCCAACCGTCCGGAATCTCTCTCTCTCTTCACCTTTACACATTATGTCTGCACTGACGCCTCTCATTTTGCTATTCTCCACCTCGGCTTTGGTTTAACCCCGCAAATATGGATTGACTTTGATTTTACTCGGTCGCCTGTTGAAGTTTTGAAGCGGCGGATCGTGTCTCTGCTCAACGAGCTTCATGTTTCCTTCGGCAACTTTCGGAAGTAACTCGTTCCGGATGCGTTGTTCACACTATTGAACTGATCCGTGCGCGCGATCAGGGGGATTTTAAATCGGGATCGTGTCCGAGGCTTTCCACACTTCTTTTATTCGTGTTTAAAGTGATGGCGGAGCGGGGAGCCCGGCTGCTCCTCTCTCTTTTCTGCCTCACGATCACACTTTCACATGCTGACAAAGGTAAGTCTGAGATTAAAGAGCATTAAAACTTTCTGCGGTGCGACCCGCTGCCTGTTTCTCTTCAGTGTGAAATGAGTGTGTGTGACTATTTTCATCTGAACTAACTTGATTTCATCCCGTTCAGCGAACACACACCGTTCAGACAGCCTCATACATCAAAACATACGCGAAATATCTACTATATTTGCCCTGAAACGGTGTGTTCTGCATTAACACACTTTCACCTGAATGGAAAACCACATTCCTTCATCAAATGGAAGCTAATTAATGAGCCTAAATCTCGTTAATGATCATGTCTGTGGAGTGGAAATCAGTGTTTTGTTCCACATAACGTTACTGTTGGAGTATCACATGCTGCTTAGACATCTTTTGCATCATAATCCTAGATATTTTTCCTTAATTTTACATCTGCCATGTTTATTTTGGTGTGTGTAGAATTCTGGACTGAACACATGAAACCAAGCAAGAAACACACCTAGGACAAATATATATTGCTTATGAATATAATGCTGTCTTTACCCAACTGAATCGGCATGTATAACCAGAGAAGATGTCTTAATGTTGCACAGAGGTGGCATAAACGCATTTACACTGATATTGCAATATCTGTAATATTCCTATGAAACTATTTTTAAAATATGAATATAGGTAGGCTACATGAATACTTAACATGATGAAGATTGCACTTCATTTACACAGTGCCAAAGCAGCATCAGAGGTGGCTTTGATGCAGGGTCACTCACAGCTACCTTTTTAAAAAATATGCCATCGCATTGCATTCTTGCACATAATATGGAGCCGAATATGGAAAACATTGCGCAGAAAATGGAGCTGTGTAAATATGCCTTTAGAGAAATTAGTATTTTTGCTTCAGCATAGAACCTGAATCTTTTGTTAGTTTATCAATCATCTTTGTTCATAAAGTGCACATTTAATTTGCACGATCATGCATCATTTAACTCCTTCATTGGCATTGGCAACATGTTTTCACTAGTTTGCGCTTGTTTATTGGGCTCACGTACGATGAAAGCGGGCCGTAGTGGAGTTTGCGGCTGGGCTGTCTTGCGTGCAGAGGCTGATGAAAGCTGCTCTGCTGCATGAAAAGCAATGTGCTGTGGTGAAAAATCACAGGCTTTGCTGGAGATCAGTACAAAAGAGAGGAATGGGGGGCTGGGTGGAACGGGCCGACTCTGTCTGGAAAGTAATAAAACCAGGAGATTAAGGGGGGAACAGGGAGTTCCTTTGGGAGTTTTGATTGATTCCAGAGAATTGGACCTACATGCCGAGAGTGAGTTTCAAGTTACTAATTGTGGGGTCCCCATCTGAAAATATGTGTTTATTTGAAGCACACAAATGCGAACCATGAGCAGTTTCGAGAAGATCGTCACCTACATCTCGCCGATAACAGCATTCCAACTTTTCCTTGTTCTGGAAAGGATGTGGGCCTGTCTTGAAGTTGTTGTTTTTTTGGGGGGGAAAGTTGTCATTATTTGCATCCCATCTTATCTTCATAACCCTGCTGGAAGATAACTGCGCTGATGGCTTCCCCGCGGACAATGTAAACGGCATGCTAAACTGTATAAACACCCTCACTACCTTGTCTGCAACCACTCAGCGAAGTAAGAGATCTGCTTCCTTCACAGAGGCCTTCATCGCACAGACCTAAGCAAGACCTGAACAAAAGGACAGTTGTACTAACATAGATAGTGTTTTCCCCCCTGTTCTCTAGGCTTTGTGTCTGGTTATTAAGTTAATTTAGGCCTGGTTTCACAAACAGGATTAGGCATTAGTTCAATTAAGATATTTAAGTAGCTTTTATAAAAGACATTTCTGATGTGCTTGACAATGGCACAGACATATTTTAAGATTTAAAGGAGTAGTTTACTTTAAAAAAAAAAAAACTTTTGTGGATAATTTACTCGTCCCCATGTCATCCAAGATATCCACGTCTTTCTTTCTTCAGTCGAAAAGAAATTAAGGTTTTTGATGAAAACATTCCAGGATTTTTCTCCATATAATGGACTTCAATGGTAACCAAACGGCTCAAGGTCCAAAAGACAGTTTCAGTGCAAACTGTTCAAAGGGCTTTAAACGATTCCGGACGATGAATAACGGTCTTATCAAGCGAAATGATTGCTCATTTAAAAAATAAAAAAAAATAAAACAAAGTTTAAGTTTTATAAGTTCAAATGGTCGCCTTGCTTTGTTCTGTGACGCACGTTTGTGACTCTCCTATTCGAACTCGTTCATCAAATTAACAAATCTTTTCCAGAGTCAACTTGTTCATTTCTTTTGTTGAATGAACCAAATGACACGAAAAAAGATTTGTTCATTTTGATAAACAAGTTCGAACAGGAGAGTCACAAACGCGCATCACGGAAAAGAGCAAGGCGTGCATTTAAGCATATAAAACTTAAACTTTGTTATTTATTTTTTAAATGAGCGATCGTTTCGCTTGATAGGACACTTATTCATCATCTTGAATCATTTAAAGCCCTTTGAACAGTTTGCAGTTTGCACTGAAACTGTCTTTTGGACCTTGAACCATTTGGTTACCAATGAAGTCCATTATATGGAGAAAAATCCTGGAATGTTTTCATCAAAAACCTTAATTTCTTTTCGACTGAAGAAAGAAAGACTTGGACATCTTGGATGACATGGGGGTGAGTAAATTATCAGCAAAAGTTTTTTTTAAAAGCGAACTATTCCTTTAAACTTTGTCAAACCCAAGTTTGGTTTGAAGAGGAAAAACGTCCCAAGCACAATGTCCTCTAACCATTCCTGAACACAAACTGAGACTCTGAGTTCGTGTTTAGAAAGTTTAATTACCCAAATTAATTTACCCAAACTTAATTTTTTCAAATTCTGGCTAAAAGAAACCTTTCGGTTTCTGTTAAAAATGCAGTATTGGTGCATAACTTTTGCAATAAAGGTACTATGGCAAATTGTATACTAACAGGGCTGTGTGGTATTTTTGAGATCATAGATTTTTAATCATAGATCAACGGATGCCTTTTTTTTGTGGAAAATCCCATCAGCACAATAGCTTGTTTGGTCACATAGCTGTCCATTGCATTATAATCATTACCCAAAGTCATCATTACTGTTGCAGCTGCATGTTTTCAGATGTCAGGGAACAAAGAGGATCAATATCACAGTAACAAATTAAGTATTGTCAGCAATTGAATCTCGCTGGAAATCGGGGCGTCACAATAAGCTCCAGCTGAGAGATCTAGCCTTCGATGTTCTGTATTAATTTAGATGGACAATGGGCCCTTGGCTAATCGCCTAATGTGCAAATGAAGGCTTGATAGCAGCCTGTAAAATGGATTATGATTGATGGAGTTGCAAAAGTGCTGGTTAATAATTTGACCTCATATTTGTCAACATTTGATTTGGGTTTCTTTGTAAGAGAATCACAGCCTTTCAGTGTCCATGTAATAAGCGATATTGCACTAGCCTGGGAAAACCCAGACAACTTCCAACAAAAAGAGCTCATTCAAGCCCATTTCCAATCCGTCGAAATCTACCAATCAGAAACGTTGGGGTGGGCTTTACACGATGACGACAGCGCTGGGATTTTGAAGCAGATTATGTAGCCTACATTACAAAGATGGACGCCGCCGTTGAACATCACTCGCTCGGATCAGCTATCGCGTCTGTTTTAAGCGATTTGAACGTTTCCTTTTTGTTAAAAACCGAGCAAAGAACAACACTCGATGTTTCTCCGCCGGCCGCCGCTCTGCAAACGTCATCTCCTTCATCGCTCTGATTGGTTTTAGGTCTACCCGCGATGTCCCCCTCTGGAAATGATGTGTCAATGACGCTTTGCCAGACCATAACTCAGTTACAACTGAGAATGGTCTGGTTTTAACCAGGCTAATATTGCACGGCATTTGGTATGTTTGGAATGGCGTACTACTTACTATTTCATATTATATATGTCATATTGGGATGTTTTATGTGGTGAATATGTAATGTATGTTATTTTATTTGTTTACCTGCCCAGGGACAGCAGATGCAAACTAGCTATTAGCTAATTCCCCAGATAGCAAACTGACATTGAATCAACGTGGAAACATGACATTGATTTTGCATTGTTTTGCTCATCGAAATTAACGTTGAACCAACGTCAGACGCGTCATTCTTCAAAACTAACGGAAAATCAACTTGAAATCATCAACGTAGGAAAGCAAACCAATTGCGTCGATTTTCATTTAGCTTTGACGAATGCCGCGTCTGACGTTGGTTCGGCGTTAATTCGATGAGCAAAACAGTGCCAGATCAACGTTGTTTCGATGTCATGAGAGGCGTCGTTTCCACGTTGATTCAATGTCAGTTTGCTGTCTGGGTCTGGTGCAATTACTTTTAATTGTGCATTGTCCCTGTAAAAATAAACAATAAAATGAAATGAAATGAAAAATATAGCCTATTTTGCCAAAATAAGGAGGCTGCATATTATAACCAGAATGCAATGCACTCTATATGACCTTCCATTTAGAAACTCATCATTGGATTATCATTGGATCAGACAGTGAAATGATCTAAAATTGAGGTCTAAAATAGGAATATTTTGTTTCTGACGACTGAAAGTCACATCGTGAGATCATCTGGCAACAATTTAGCATGCTACGGTTTGAAATGTTCAGTGTTGCATGCTGTTTCAATTATTGTTTAAAAAAAAAAAAAACGTACAGTATATGTAAGCTGAAGTATTCCATTCCCAGCTGGCCTTGATTGGCTGTGTCAGGAATCGCTAACGTCAGCACAGGCTATTCATCAGCATTTCTTTTTTTGGTGGCCTCTAAAGTGAGGTATGAATGGTTGTGAAAATGGTTTGAGTCCATTTATTGAAATGGTGAGCTTCTGCTGCATGAGATTATTGGAAAGATTTCTGGCCAACCCTGCATGGTCAATTCTGCCCCATTACCATCAGTAGTGTATCATTATGTTACTGAGTGCACTATTTTAGTGTAGCGTTTGAGAAAATGACCAGTCTA